GCAGAGATTACACAATTCCTTGTGGTCATACCGTCAGTTGGAGCTCTGACAGGATAAAAGCAGTCAGCTGACACTCTCAGCCAATCACAGCTGCCCATTGCTGTTCAGGCTAATACCTCCTCATAAGCCATAGCATCAGAGGGGATGGACTGCTGGGGACTCTCGTTTAGCGTTAAAAACTGTTTAACGCTGAAAGAAATGATGGTACCAGAGGACTCCAGACACTATAACCATTTTAATGAGATGAAGCAGATACAGTGCCTACGGTGTCCCTTTAAACCTTGTTAAACAGAGACCACAGTGGGATATGCTGGGAGCAGTTTATAAACGACATCAATCAATAAAACCCACTACATCTAGAGTATGTGGTAAAATCTACATGCAGTGGTTTTGGTGCATAGACCCTTTCCCTGCAGTCTGATAAATGTAAACATTGATGCCTCTATAACAAAACCGCAATGTTTACATTTGTCTGGATGCTCGGATGGCTGTCTTAATATAGCCACTAGAGAGGCACTTCCTAGTGAAGAAAATTGAAAACCTTCCTTTGGTGCCTTCGTAAAAAATACTTGTATTTTTTTATTTTTTTTTTATAAAGAGAAGCATTGGATTTAGTGCTCTGCATGAGAAGCATCCAATTGGCTGAGAAGATGCCCAGTAAGTCCCCAATACTTTTGTTATTAGAAGCGTTGGGTTGAATAAGAGGATCAGCCACTGCATTACTGGATGAATGGTGCAGAAAACAAACATTTTATGGATTGATTTTATTACTGGCATCTATAACGCGACAACATATTTCACAGAGCTGTACAATTAGGGGAGAATGTATGGCATACGCAGCACAACACAAATGGTAATAATTCAAACAAGTTCAAAACTACATTGAATTCCTGACATGTTACACTTTAGTGAATAACACTCTACAATTTTCATTTGCAGTATTTGAATTACACCTTTTCCATGGGAGGACGTTTTACGCATTCACAGTCAACACTACCAAAAACAAAATAAATTAAAAATAAACACACAACATGGTGGACCTGTAAACCTCATGCATGTGGGATATATACGGAGATGTTCTGATAATATCATATGTGGAAAGGCGTAAATTGGTGGATATTTAATTAATTAATTAAAAAAAAAATATATATATATATATATATATATATATATATATATATATATATATATATATATATATATATATATATATATATATATATAAAATAACAGATTTATCAGCTGCAAAATATCCTTAGATTTATTTTAACTTTAAATGTCAGATAGTGGCAAACACCCTAATACATGGTTAAATGCTCACATTGAATGAGTCTATTTAATTCATATAAACAGGATACTGTATAGTTTTTGTTCCCCCCATAGAGCTGCTCTGATTAGCTGCCTTGCAAGTCTGTCTGGCTTCTGTCAGCCTGTCACCTCCTCTTAAATGTGACAGCTGCCTGGCCTCGGTGCCTGCCGGGAGTTGTAGTTCCCATGTCTATAGAATTTCACTAGGCATTCCAACATAGAAACTACATCCCCCAGAAACCTCGGTCATGCTGAGCTGGGTGAAAAAAAAAGAAGCATGCTGATCGATAGGGATTTTAACGTGGCCTTAATTGTGTAAGATCCCTGGCTTTAGGGCACATACAACCTGTTATACAACAGAGACAGAGGGAACAAAATAATCAGATCATACATTGCACAGTGAGTAAGCAATAATCAGATATACAACATAAAGTGTTTTTTTTTTTTTTTTTTATGTGGGCTGCTTAGCATGCACTCCTGCATTGGATAATACAGTGAGATTTTAAAAGCAGGTTGCCTGACAGGTGCTTGAAAGGATGCAACAGCTGCATTACTCATTTAAATTGAATACAACTGCTAAACCCATATAAACATGTGTGCTGTACCATCCCTGGTTTGCTGGATAGAGAAATCTCATCACCCCACTATTATATTAAAATAAAAACCACACAACACAGTTTAACCTGTTAATGGGTCATATTTCTTGATTACATGCATTAATAACAGCAAAAAACAAGAACCAAAGACTTGTAAGATAACGTGGTGGGTGTGTATATATAAATAAATAAGGAAGTCTCCTACAGAATGGTAAGGAACCCAACATTCTATAAATGTTGCATTCTTAATCCTTATGAGAATAACCAAACTGTTGCTTTAATGGGAATACAGTCTGTCTGCAAGGGAGAAAGCATGGTAAGGAAGCATGGGAGGATATTTCATGGCTAAAATTTAAATGGTAATGAAAAATATATCTTTTTTTCTTTTTAAAAGCTGCAGAGGTGCAGTGATACAGCCTATAAGCTTGCATTGCAGCGCTTACCAACTTTGTAGGTGAGTTTGTCAGACATTGTTCAGAGGAGGAAGATTACACAGCATGCAACCTGGCTGGTAAGAGAAGAAGAGGAGGCGTGCTGCAGCGGTCCCTTTAAGAATCGCCCGCTATACACCATATACGGTAGTGCAATGGGCGGGGCTTCCGACATCTGACCGTCTCAGCCAGCATGACGCGCTCCATACTGAGTGGGAAGGGGCGGCGTGTGGTTAACGCCCCTCGCGTTGTGATTGGCTGAGCAGTGAACTTTGATAGTAGTGACGTTTGCTACATGAGGCCAAAGGTGTATGGGAGCTATGATTGTGCAAAATGCATGCAAATCATTAACTTCCTGGCTTTTTTTTGTTTTTTGTGGCTTGCCAATGATTGGTAGTTCAGTTATATCCACGGTTAGAATGCTGAGTTTTATATGGAAGTCTGTGAGTTGTTTAAACCATAATTGTCAGCTAACCCATAAACAGTTATTCACTAAAATAAGAATTGCCAAAGTGAAGTTCAAATTTTAGGTCAAGATAGCAAAATGTTAATATATTTTACATTCACTAAATTCCTAATTGCAAACTGAAATATAAATAGCAAAATTCAGACTAGGGGTTAGTCCAGGACTCCGGGCTGAGTGGGACCCATTTTCGTTGGCTCCAATATCGAGACCCCCAAGACGGCTACTATCGTGCTCACAGAGCTCATAAATGCCCGAGAAGCTCTCAAAATGATATGGGGGAACTCCATGACTACCTATTGATCTCGGTTCAGATCAGATTGCTGTATGTCACCGCTGGCACAGTCTTCAGGCCTTTCGTTATGGTACGAAACTGGCAGCTTAGAGCTGCTGATCGCGGAGACGTAATGTCAGACGTTTGAGAAGGCTGGTGGTCCGGCTCCACTTCCCTCGCCCCGGCTGGTGGGGGTTATCCCAGCCCATAAGTCAATGCTTTGATCACAATTTGGGTGGCCGATATGGATGAGGACTTTATTATTATTATGATATTTATAGAGCGCCGTCAAATTCCGCAGCACTTTACAATGGGTGGACGAACAGACATGTAGTTGTAACCAGACAAGTTGGACACACAGGAACAGAGGGGTTGAGGGCCCTGCTCAATGAGCTTACATGCTAGAGGGAGTGGGGTAAAATGACACAAAAAGGTAAGGATAGTATTAGACTAATGACAGTTGCAGAAGAGGAATCAGTCAGGAGCTATTAACAGTTTAATTGATACGCTTTTATGAAGAAGTGGCTTTTTAACGATTTTTTGAAGGAGTGGAGACTGGGTGAGCATCTAACGGAGGAGGGAAGCGAGTTCCACAGGAACAGTGCAGCCCTTGAGAAATCTTGAAGGCGAGCATCAGAGGTGGGAGTACAGACAGAAGATAGACTTAAGTCTTCAGCAGATCGTAAGGGCCCAGACAGGACGTAATGCCACCTCAATATTTCAGGAATGGCTGTATGTAACCTTGTCTGCCAGGTGGTGGCGGCATAGAAGAGATTGCTTACCTACAGAGATGGGCTGAATTATGAGTTATGTATTCCTAACGCTATAGTGTTCCTTTAATATTAGATCGCTATACCACAACTCTAGCAAATGTGTTTTTTTTTTCCCACTTCTTTCTCGTTAGGCACTTTTTATTGAGCTATTTTGCAAAGTAATGCTGACTGTTATATGACTGTCCTCTCCAGGGCGACTCAGATCTTTGTTTTCCATCAGTATGGTCGGCTCTATTTGTTTGATAACATTTGTTTAAAGTGGCAGTGACCCACAAATCCCTATGTTCGCATCGGCTTATACACTGCGGTGTTGCCTGCTTATTGTTTAGTCACACACAGGCTATATTTTCATTGTTTTAAACTAATGGTAATGGCGAATTATGCATATATTCAAGGTTGCATAAAGAGTTTTCTTTAATCGCTTTGCTCATTCTCCAAACCCTTACATGACCGTACAATTCTTATGATTTCTTATTCGGTCATGCCAAATCCTGCATTTTATGACTGCTCCGGTTTGTGATTTATTGTCACCTGTCTAAGCGTTGTTTGAGCAGGCCCTAGAGACATATCCTGTTCGTTTGTGCATATATTCGCTACTACTAGGGTGCTTTATTTTAATGCCTACATAGGCTTTGTCTTCATGCGCTGCAAACTGCTATACTTTTACTGTCAGGATACTGACAGGGATCCAATACGCAGAGTGCGGACAGAAGGAGGTACGTATACCGGACCTTAGAATGGCCGGACTAACGTAGGGACAAAGCAAGAATAGTCAAAAGGTAAGCCGAGGTCGAGGGAGCCGGAGGACAGGTAAGCGAGATACAAGCCGAGTCAAAGGAGAGGAGAGGACAACAGGATAAAAGACAAGCAAGGGTCAAAACCGGAAACACAAGATAAAGAACGCGCTGAGTGACTAGCAAGCTAGAACCACGACAGGGCAATGAGCAGTAGTAAAGGTTTCCTTTAAATACCC